AGATCGCCTGGATTCTAAAAGTCAGTCCATTAGTTGTATCTGATGGATGTAAATTTGCCTCCTAGTTCACTTTGTCACGAGCTAAAACTGTGAACCTAACTTTCTCTTATTGGTGGGTGATAACTGAAAATAAAGATTTTATTTTCATGCTCACTTCTTAAAAGTCATAAAAGCAATCATAGGAGCCCATTTATCGTCACGTGTCTTATGACCTATGTGTGTACCCCCAAGGGTAATGTTCATTTCATTTTTTCACAAAGCAGGTTTGTTTATATGGAGTGTTTGTTAACCTAGTCTGTCAAATAGCAATTGGGAGAGTACCTATTTTAATTACAAAATTTAATTCTTGTAAAATGAATTTTAAGGATGGACATGACAATTGACATTTCTTGTAGGAAACTCCATGTTTGAGTGAAGGTTATGTCGGGGGTTTGTCTTTTCACAAATAAGGTAATAATGGCTGATAGAATGTTCTAATGAACTTCTGTCTTGAATCTTTTAAAGTGAAATAGTGGTATAGTTTATATTTTTTATTAAGATATTTTCAGTTTACATTGAGATGATGGAGATGGGGTCTGTTATAGTTAAATATTTTGAGAACTTTGTGCACTTATGAAAGATTTTAAAATGTGTCACCAGGCACTATACGTCTAAGTTACTTCACTCAGTTTCATTTAAAAAACGGAGGCAGAACATATCTCGAGTTGTAAATAAGTAGTACGTTTGGGGGTTTCTGGTGTTTTATGGAGGGAGAATATTAGGTATTCGTTTTTATTGTATTATTTTTCTAATTGCTATAGGTGGTTGGAAATAGAAAATTTTTGTTATACACTGTTAGCGAGTTGCATAGAAAGTCTGAATACTGTATATTAGGATTTTTAAACATCTTTAAGAGACTAACATGGAAAGAACCAACAAATATCAAAGAGTTAAAAAAACTCAGAAATGTGGAGCTGCTAGAACTAAATGATTTTGACTTTAAGATCATTATGATGTTTACTAGTGGACATCTAGAAGCCATCTATCCTAATAGCAAATTCTTAGGCTCTTGGATGCCTGCAACTCTGCTTTATAAAGAAAGCAATTAAATGCTTAGAAAATAGATTCTAACCCAAACATTTGTATTTCTACTGAAATACATGTTTAGGCAGAACATTTAAAATCTAGTAACAAAGCAGTAAGATCCCTCATCAGATTTTCAGACCTGATTAGATAAACCATGAACATTGTAAAATTGTCAGGTTTTATCATTGATCTGTATATTAAGTGTCAGCTTTCAGAAATTTGGGCTCAAATGATTTTTTGCTCAGCCTAGGTTTACCTCTGACATGTTCTTTCAGCTTGAGAATCTTGATCTGATGATCAAATTATGGGGGTTATATGAGAAGTGATTGAAATGTGGTTGAGAGGAATCCTTAAATCAGTAATGTAAGGAAAGGTAACCTAGAGTATAAGCTTAATTTCAGAAAGTGATTAGGATATAAATTATTAAAACCATTAAGATTTTGTCCATGGTGGGAAGTGCTAACATTGGAAGTGAGTATCATTTAAATTAGCGCTACATCTAAGCCAGAGGTCAACAGATTTCAGCCTGTGGTCTGTTTTTTGTACAGTTCATGAGCTAAGAATCGCTTCTACCTTTTAAAAGTGGACGATGTATATAGTCCCCAAAGCTTAAAATATATGGTCCTTCACAGAAAATGTTTGCTGACCCTTGGTCTACACCATCACTTAGGTCAACATAAAGAGTTCTTTAAAAAAAAAAAGTTACAGGTGCAGATTAAATTGCCCCGTATGGGAAGTTGTGAAATTTGAAGTATTTAAAAATTTTTACTTCTTAACCTCTAATCAGAATAAGGGCAAGATATTCAGTAGCTTTTTAGTAAAGATTTATTTTTTAAGAAATTATTTAGTTGGCAACCTAAATATGATTCTGAAAGCTGTTATGGAAAGTATAATTTGCTAGACTAAGACACTTAATGGCATGGTTATAGGTTTTCACATTTAGTGGCAATTATCACTTGATGATGATCTTTCTATTGTGTTGACTGTGCCATAAGATGAGAAATAGAAACATTTTACATGGGTAAGAAAACAAATGTCTTAACTTCATAGGTTGAACTAGGGCATCAGTGGATTCTGAAAACCATTTCTCAGCTTAATCAGGATATCCATTTAGGCAGAATCTAGCTTTTGTGTCATTACTTCTGTCTTAACTGGGAGTCAGTTCACTTTGAAATGGAAAGGAAGGGTGAGAAATGGCCCATACAAGTTAGAAAATGACTTACCAAATTATGTTTTCATTGGAGGTGTTAATTACATGAAAGTCGTTGAGTTGTGCCTGACTGCGACCCAATGGACTGTAGCCTGCTAGGCTCCTCTGTCCATGGAATTCTCCAGGCCAGAATACTGGAAGGGGTATCCTGTCACTTCTCCAAGGGATCTTCACAACCCAGGAATTGAACCAGAGTCTCCGGCATTGCAGGTGGATTCTACCAGCCAAGCTACCAGGGAAGCCTCTAATTACATAGATAGTGTTAAATTAGTAACATTTGTCCCTTTTGCTGCCTGTTGGAGAGACTATGACCATTCTGGTGCACTTGAATGTGTATTCTAAGTCTTGTGCTTGGAAAACAAAGAATACTTGGTGATAATTATTCTGATACCTCCGGTTCATTGTGAATTTTTCAAAACTAGACTACCTAAAGTGATAATTGCTCTGAACTGATCTTGGTTGTGGCTTTATTCCTTAAATGGCTGCATAAATGTTACTGGTATGGAAATGTGAAAAGCGAAGGGCTAGTTAATATTTAGGGTTTTATTATTTGGAGATCTGAGCTGGGAGAATGAGCAGTAGTTTGGACAGTATTGTTTACACCATAACACCATAATTGCAGTTGCGGCTGACTTCTCTCAACAGATTTTAGGTCCAAAAATGCTTCAATCTGAAGAAATGGTTTTCATTTAGCTAGAATGGAGATGTATAGAATGATCCAGTTGAACTTGGTTCTTGTTATTGCCCAGAATTTTGTCAGTTTGGGACTGAAGTTTTCTTATTAGCTGGTGAATAATGTCAGAAATCTTATTATGGGAACTTTTACACATTGAATTCCTTGTTTCACACCTTGGGTGTAATAATCCACAGTCAGTTGTTGCTTTGTTTGGCAGGCACACTGACAAATAGTGACAAATGTTGGATACGCACATGTTTAGACATTCTGTCAATGCTCAGGCTGCCAGAGGTTTGGAAATTATCTAACACATCAAAGAAAATGGTGGCTTCCTCTCCACCCCCAACTGCATTTTATAGCTGAAGATATTTAGGTTTACATGACTGGTGAAATGAATTAAACACAGGAACTTTTCTGTTTAGAGAGAAAGTTGGTTTGTCTTCTCTGGAAATTCTGAATTTCCAGTGAAGCTTCCACATTTTTTTTTTTCCCAACAAAAAAGGAACACCTTTTCCTAAAAACTACAGAAAATTTGGTTTCAGCTTGATACTGTGTACTTATCAAGGCTTCACTTAGGTGCTACCATTGTAGTAACTTAAAAAGGCCATGGGAAGACTGGATTGGATAAATCACTTGATAAAGGTGTTCATTGATCACTAATAATACGAAGAAAATCAACATGCCCAGCCAGGTATATTGTGTGTGCTTCTGACTACTGTATTTTGTTCATAACAGTATCCGCTGAAGATTGAGTGACACTTTGTCACTGAATCAATAAAATGCAGTAGACGACGTGTTTGATATTTGGATTGGTCCACCCTCCACTCAGCCCTGCATTTTGAGTCAGAAAGTAGAGCTGGAAGTCACAACTGAAATAATAGAGAAGTGCTTTGGATGCTGTATAATGCTCGATGAAAATAAAAATCATCTGAGAAGTTCTCTTTAGGAGGAAATGGGCAGTTTATTAAGAGAAAATCACCATTACACTATTGCTTGAAGAACTTCAATAATCGGCACCTCCTAATGACACCCAAACAGGGATGTTCCTCCTTAAACCTTTTTTTTTTTTTTTCAGGATCACCAATTTCTTGTTACTTAAAGTTATTAAACTTCTATCTGCAGATTTTTAGAGGAAAAATTTTGAGAAGTATCCATAGCTGGAGAAATTATTGGCTAACTATCCTTTCTAGCTATTTTAAAAAATCTATTGCAAACACATGAAAAGTGGGTGTTTTAACAACAAAAAAGTCTATAAAGCTGTTCTGAAAGTTAACCTGCCACAGACCAGAGGGACCTAAAGGGAATGTTTATAGGAGTGCAAAGAATCCAGTCATCCGCAGTTGCGGGAGAGGAGAGGAAACAAATTGTGGAAAAGAAGGCAAATGGTCTTTAACACCCTCTGTGATGGAATAAGGTTAAGATTTCTTTTCATAAATGAAATCTTGTGACATCCAGTTTTCACCTTGGGATTTTTGGCTAGGGATGAGGATCATAAGGTTTTTAGGAAAAACCATGTTAGCGCTGGTTACGATCTTTCTGGTGAAAATCCAGGATCTATGAAAAACAGTCTCCATGAGAATCTCGCAACAGCTTTTACAGTATTTTGTTGGGTCCAATTACCTGTGGGTAGTATTAAAATCTGAAATTGGAAAAGGGAAGATACAGACTCCACATGACATTCTCTTGCCTACGTAAGGCCAGGGTTCCTTGTGGAAGAATTCTTCACAGCCGTGGAAATTGTTAAGTGGCCTGAATTAATTTAAAGGAACCTTGTGGCATCACATAATAGGTCTGTATGTTTCTTGGAGATGTGGTTGAAATCTCAGCCAAATTAAGAATGGTTTTTGCCACTTAAAAGAACCATCAACAAAATGTGGAATCAGTTACCATAGAATAAAGGAAAGGCACTTATATTTTAACAGTTCATACAAGCAACACAACTGGATAAAAATGGCCCTAATTCCTTTTTACTTAAACATCCATGTTTGGAAAAAATCAGGTTAAGTTGGATGGAGTTATAGATATTTTAATTAAAGAGAGAACACACTGTTCTGGTTACTTCTCTATTTGAAAGGCATAATATTTTTATTCATAGTTTTAAATACTTGACAGTTTCCTTAAAATAATGGACTTTCTCAGAAGTGTTTCCCGTCTGTGACCTACAGTGTGCCTTGTAAGATTTAGATGAGTAGATAAGTTAGCAAACTTAGTGCCAGATTTATCCTGGTGTCATTTAAGATTTTCCTGCTTTTTAGGTAGTTTCCTAAAGAACCAAGAATGCTCTAGAACTTTAGAAGTATGGAAATGCCAGTTTTTTATTATCTAGTAACAATAGGTTCAAAGATTTTTATGGAATCACAGGTATTGTCAACTAGAGTCAGAATCCCAATTGATAGAAAATTTGTTGTGCAGTCACTTGCATAGAGAAGAATTAAAGTAGTTGAAAGTTAGGCTCTAAAACCAGACTGTGGTATCAGGTTCTAATAGTATGACTGGGGTTTAGTTAACTTGTACCATAGTTTTCTCATCTCTGAAGTGGAGAGAACACCTACCTTAAACTAGTCATGGTGAGACCTGAGTTATACCTCTTGAAAACTGCATGGACTAAGTACTATGTTAGAGGCTGTTGATCATTATTAACAATTCCTGTAAGAATGGGAGTAAAGGCAAAATTGGCTTGTTATATAAACTTGTCTTTCAAAGGTCCATTGCTTCAGTTACTACTCTTAACATCCACCCCCCTTCTAGTCACTGCTGTGATAAGTCTTTTATTCACTTTATGATATTTATACAGTTTTAGTCTACATTGCTAGGAAAGGAGTTCCTGACTCAAATTTTACAGAATATTGCCCAGGTGCCTCCAGAAAAGAGCCAACTAACAGTACTCTTATTAATACCAGCTAATTTTTAATGTTTCTAATTTGGTAAGGGAAAAATGGTACTTAATTTTTATTTCTTTGATAAAACAGGTTTTTTCATGCTTATTGGGTATTTATATGAATTTTGTGAGTTGCTCACTCAGTCCATTTTTCTTTGAAGTGTTGATTCTTTTTTCATATTGATCTGTAAGTTATCTTGGCATATCTTGAAAATATTTTTATCTAACTTGGGTGTGTTTTGCAAAGTTTTAATTGGAAATTTATTTTAGTGTAGACTGTGATGTAAAAATATGACTTTTTCCTTTCCATCATCAGTTGACCAACTGATTAAATTCCTAATCCATTTTTTTTTTTAAGGTGAAGAAGAGGACTTTCTAATCTCTTTATTTTAGAGAGTGATTAATTTAAGGGTTTACCTATTAGCCTTTCATAAGGGTGGATAATGTGAATGTCCTTGATTCCTGCAGGCTAGAAAGAGAAGAACAGGGCTCCTTTGGAAGGCTTGAGCAGTGATACTGCGACAGATGACAACTACATCAGGTGGAAGAAAAAGAGCCTGATGGAGAAAACCAAGAATCGAGTAAGGGGTACTGACTAGAATAGAATGTGCCTAGCTTGGCATCTCTTTCACTGGTGGCTGGGCATTGGTGAGTTGCAGCTGTAGGCTATTCGTGGAACCTGAGAAATTGGGACAGGGTGGAGGGGAAAAGGCACTAAAGGGAAAGAACTAGATAACAACAGCTTGGCTTTTCTATAGCCTATAAGGAAGACAGAGGCCCAGGAAATGGAGTTTCTGGCTTCTGGTAAAGAGGGTTTTGTTGTTTTTTTTTTTAAAGAGGGTCTTTTTAATGAATAATTGAAGGTAGTGATCTTTACACACAAATTGGTAGAGATGCCCGTGAATTCACTGAGAGTGAACTTGAACTCTATCTGTAGTATTTAGGTCCCAGAGAATTAAGGAATTTGATAGTTTCAATAGAGCGTAGATTTCTGGGTTGGCTTTGGGGATGTGTATCAGGAGTGAGGATTTAAAGTATTGCTAATTTTCCTGATGAATGAAAGCCTGGCTATATGAATATTGGTGAGCTCTACTAGGCTTGGTAAACGAGGCAGTCTGATCTAGGAATTTTATTTGTGTGTGGGCAGGAAGGAAGATTAGAAAAACTATTTGGAGCAAGGGCAGAATGAGGTTACCTATCCTGTCATTCACGGAAAGAGGGCATTTTATCTGCCAGAGTGAGCAGCCAGAGGCATGCTCAAATAGGTTTTTGGTAGCTCAGCAGTAAACAATCCACCTGCAATGAAGGAGACTTGCAGGAGACATGGGTTCTATCCCTGGTTCGGGAAGATGCCCTGGAGGAGGAAATGCAGCCCACTCCAGTATTTCTGCCTGGGAGATCCCATGGACAGAGGAGCCCAGTGAGTAACAGTCCATGGGGTGGCAGAGAGTCAGACACAACTGAACAGCAACATGTATTATAGTAGCGCTGTCAGTCAATGGTAGGGTAGAATGGGGGTTGAGGATGAAGAGGATTACAAGTAAATGCAATTGTCTCAATAAAGAGGAAGCAGGCATAGCTGGATTGCCTTCTAGAACAGAAGGAGCAAGGTGGAGGCGGTGGCAGGAGACATCTCTTACTTTATATTGATAAACCTACTCTATCAATCTGATTCTTCAGCACTGTGGACCAGCCATGGTGCTGGAGAATCAGATTGCTGTGATCCCTGCCTTCAGGTTACATACAGTCCAGTAGAGGAAAAGTGCATTGTACAAGGGGAGTGCTGAGGATGCTTCTGCATCCTTAGAAGGAGACTTTTTTTTATTGAGAAAATAATTGAGGGCTGCAGTACCAGTTGGGGCTTTAACGGAAGGGAAAAGGTAGTGGTGATGCTTTTGTTGCTCAGTCGTGTCTGACTCTGCAACCCCGTGGACTGTAGCCCGCCAGGCTTCTCTGTCCATGGGATTCTCCAGGCAAGAGTACTGGAGTTGGTTGCCATTTCCTTCCCCAAGGGAAAAGGTGTGGTTGGTTAAAAAGGAAACTGGGGCCTGTGTGTTGAAGCGGGAGGGGAAGAGTGGCTAAAATGGCTATTAAATAATCAAAAGAAAGCAAATACAGGAACAGCAGGTATTGCAAGAAATGAGTTGGCTCTTACTCTCAAGAGGTGACAGTTTGGACTGCTTCTGAGGTGGCAGCTTTGTCTGTCATGACCTATTGCAAACAGTCAAACCAGGGGCTCCACAGCCTGGGTGCAGACAAGCCAGTGCTGAAGCTGTGGAGATGCAAGGAACCATGCTGTGGGGGTGCTTACACAGCAGCTAAACAGAGTAGAATAGATATGTAAGGAAGAAGCTTAAGCTTTTCAAATAAAGCCTGGGAGAACTATGTTAGTCTGGAACGGCAGGAGGCATGGATGAAGAGTTAAACATGACCTAGCAGAACATTTGTGTATCAGGCCTATGGGACATACTGATCTAGACATAGATGTCGTCTATAGTAGCAACTTTATATACAGTTGACCCTTAAACAATGTGATGATTAGGGGCATCGACTCCCCTGTGCAGTTGAAAATCTGCATATAACTTTTAGTTGGCCTTCTGTATCTGTGACTCAGTATCCAACAATGGATCACATAGTACTGTAGAATTTATTATTTTTTAAAATATGCATATAGGTGGACCCATGCAGCTCAAACACGTTATTCAAGGTCAACTATAAGTGGTTGTTGAATGAATGGTCCTCTGCACTGTTTGCCATTGCTAGTAAGAGTTTTGGTTTCTACTCTTGCCTTTCTCCTTTCTGGACAACATAGACAAGAAAGTTGCAAGAACCCAGACTGGAATTTCCAGGTCCACACAGCAGAGGATGTAATTTTAAGGCTCTGCAGAAGGCAAGATGAGGTATCTGGATTTGATTACAGCCAACTCTCAGTTCCTGAGATTCACCCTGAGCTGGCTTACCTGCCCTCTAGCTGCACCCAGATCTGATGGGAGCGCCCAGAGGTAATGACCACTGGAGCAGGTGGCTGGGTAGACAGGGCATGCCTTGCTGGTTGGAGGTTCATCAGCTTTCCACACTTCAAGCTTCACCACTCAGAGCATGAGGGAGCCACACCCCATTTTTAACTGGTCCAGAGTCAACTTCTCACCACAGGAGAAGGTGAGTGGGCGAAGGGAACTTGAGGGGAAAATGGAAAGAGAGATGTGCTGAGGCAGTTCTTCCAGAGGATCAGTTATGGGAGCCTCATGTGAAGGGAGATAATTCATGTTGGAGGGTAAGTAGCCCTCATGGGTAGGAAGGTAGTCCACTGGGAGGACGGTCAAGGGGCTGGCTGGGTTTCCCAGCTTTGAGTCAGGGCCCTTGCTCCCTAGAACCTTGTATAGATCCACCCCTTGTCCTGTCTCTGCTGTGAGAGCTCTCGGAGGTGGTGGGCTTGAGGCAATGTACCCTGTGTCTTCCTCAGAGGTATAGTGACCTTGGACTCCTTGTCCCTTTTCTGACCAGCTGGGGTGATGGGGAGGTCTGAAGACTGGTGTCACTCGACAAAGGACTTCGTTGATAACCAGGGGCTCGGGTTCTTCAGCAGTGGGCCAGTCTTTTAGGAGCCTATCCAAGGCCAGCTGTGTCTTTTCCTGAGAAAGGGAAAGAAGAGGCTCATGTGGCTATGTTGAGTAAGTAGCCTTGACAACCGACTTGCTCAGGCTTCCAAAAGGCCTCGCAGCCTGCACTGCCTCGTCAGCTTGAGGCAGAACACTGTGGGCCCTTAACTTTGGGAGGTGAAAGAGGCAGTTAACATTGTTGGCGAGCCGTGGACTCTTCTCAGCCCCCAGCAGTGAGTCACTATCCCACTAAACCGTCAGCTAGACTGTTTCTGGTGAGTCAAACTGCACCAGCTGCTTTTCCTCTAGCATAGTAGGCACAGTGGGTGCAGAGGAAAGGCGGAGCTTGCATCTGTCTGGGGAGGAGGCATGGAAGACTTTAAAAGGATAACACTAGAGCTGAATCCTGAGAGGTGTATAGTTTTTCCCAGGTAAGGAGCTGGTGGGGAAAGGAGGATTGGTCTACTCTGGAAGCTGCTAGGTCTTTCTTAGGACAGGCACATTAAGGCTTTAGAAAGAGAAGGAGGTCACGTGATGAAGGGACCTTTAAGGGATACTTAAGAGTTCGGGCTTTGATACAACTGCTGAAAGGTTTTTGGCAGGGTGATATCCTTGTCAGTTCTGCTCTTAAGAAAGACTCCACTGGAATAACTTATCTGGAAGAAGTTTTCATCCTTTCCTTGCTACAGCTAATTTTGTCTGTTACTCTTCTTGCTCTGTCTTTCTCAGCATCTAGTTGGTTGCATCTCCTTTCGAAGCTTACTACTGATTCCTGAGTCCAAGTTTAAGCACTTTATTAACATTTCTTTTTATAGGCTTTACTGGGCTCTCCCCACACTTGAAACTTTCTTTTATGCTGCCTGCTTGATCTTTCTGAAGCAGAGCTCCAAAGCCCACTTTCAGGAAGTCCCTAGTGATTGTTCCCCACACTGGATTCCTACAACAGCAAAGAAGCTAACTGTTAGGTTCTTGGCACAAAATGCTTTATACTGTTACTTAAAAAAAAAAAAGGGCCAAAAAACCCCCCAAAACATGTCCATCAGCTGCAAGCAGGGTCCAGATCTTATAGGAGGAGGATAATAAAAATAGCCTTGGTCTAGGGCAAACCCTGAGGACTAATCCCAGCTCTGAGAATCTACAGCTTGGGAGAACTCAATACACCTCTCTGGGCGTTGAATCACTTATCTGTAAGATGCCAAGCTGTGCAAGAATGGTATGATCTATGCTGGTCACTGATGTCCCCTCCCTTGCCTCGAGCATGGCAAGCGTCCCCAAAGTGAATGACAGTTCTGTCTCAGGGGGGACTTCTACAAAGGGCCCTGAGCAGCCAGAGGGTAGGTGTATACCTTTCTTTCCAGAGCCTGCTCTTTTCCTATTGCTAAGCAAACTGGCTCTGGCACATTGGTCTGGCTTGGAACATGGCTGGCAGCTGCCAAAATGCTGTAACCAGCGCTATGGAAGGATCACAGAGAGTGAGGATCACCTTGTATTCATAAGGCAAGGCTCTGCCTTTTGACAGTTCTGGCAGTACCAACTGAGGCTGTACCTCACAACTTTTACAAAGCAGGCCCCCTGACTGACAAGTCCTGGGGCAAGGCCTCTTGGACCAGTAATAACTCAGGTTATCATGGGAACTGTTTTAAGCTTTTACAAGCTCAAAATGGATAACATCCCAGTATTCCCTTTATACTTGAGCCTTTTCCTCTTGAGTTTTAAGACCTTGTCTTTTTGGCCACATTTTAAGAAGTGGTAGGGGGTTTACATGGTGACTCAATCCGCCTGCAATGCAGGAAACCTGGGTTCAATCCCTGGGTGGGGAAGATCCCCTGGGGAAGGGAATGGCAATCCATTCTAGTTTTCTTGCCTGGTAAATCCCATAGACAGAGGAGCCTGGCAGGCTACAGTCCATGGGGTTGCAATGGGTCAGACATGACTAAGCAACTGATACTTTCACTTTCAGGGGAATGTAAAATCTGAGAACTCAAAGCACATTTTGTTGGAGGTGAAAGACGATTGTTTCTGATGTCTGTCCCAGCCTGTCACCAGGAGAGCAGTTTGGGCCTTTAAAAATAGTCCACCCCTGCAAGGGTCAAGTGACGTGGGGTTCTGAGGCTGCCACAAGGCGATGGCATGTTTAATTTTTTTTTTAATTTTCTAATTTATTGGGTTTTTGTTGTTTTTGCAAAAGAAATATAGGGACATAGTCTTGTAATTTTTTTTTTTCTGTTCAAAGAGAATTTGTAATAAAAATTAAGTGGACTTCATGCCTTCAACTGCCTCCCCAAAGACAACCACCATTACCAGTTTCATATTTAGGCTTCCAGAAATATCCTCTGCACATGTTGGAGAGAGTGTGTGTGTGTGTGTGTGTGTGTGTGTGTGTAGAATCACCTTCCTTTTATACAAATGAGAATCCACTTTAGACAATTATTACAAACTGCTTTTTTTCACCTTTAAACATACTGGAGATTTAGATACATATAGATCTCAGTTTTGTTTTTAGTAGTTTCATAACATCTTGCTGTACGGATATACCCAAACGTTTAACCTGGCCCCCTGGTGGCAGGTTACCTTATGTAATGTTCGGCTTCTATTTATAATGCTGCAATGAAAATACTCATACTGTACAACTTCGGGCATGTGTGTGGCAATTTCTGTTGTTGTTTCCTTGTGTTACTTTCTCTAACCCTTTGTTTATCTCAGAACCTCTTCTGAGCTTTTTATGGGCTCTTCAGTGGTCTGTATGCCTCTGTGTCCCCTCACACCCAGGCAGTGGCAAAGAGAGACCATGACACCAAAGCCGCCAGCTTGGGAGCCAGGTGTCCGTGACTGACCCAGAGCTGCTCCACACTGTGCTATTTCAGGCTTTCAGGACATGGGACTGTGGCATCTCAGCATTGGAAGAGAGAGACCTTAGAGCTCCACTTATTCAACTCCTGGTACCTGAATCCCCTCTAACACTAGCAGTGGCATCCTTATTGAGTACATTCCCATAGGTCATTACAATATTGCCTCCAAGTGAGGATCCAGTGTGGGAACACCTCTTGAGTTAGTTTTTTCAGCTCAGAGGCGCTGACTGCTGGAAACACCCCCCTCACCCTGTGCTGAAGATCTTTTAGAACATTTAAAAGTATAATGGCAGACAGCTCATCCTGCTTATATGTGAACGCAGGATCCACCTGTTAGTCGACTAACACTGGACAAGTTACTGTGCCTCAGCTTCCTTATTTGAGAAACGGGGAAAATAACATTACAACCTCATAAAGCTGTTGTACAGGTTAGATGTTAATACATGAAAATTTTTTTACAGTGCCTGGTATAGAGAATGTACATTATATTTTATATATAAACATATTATTGTATAATATTGTTATATATCATATTGTATATAATTATATGTCATAAATACTCAAATTACATCATATACATGTATATATACATATATTGTTATTATTATACCGTTCTTGCTACTGTAACTTAACAGGGACAAAACTCAATAGAGAGTGAAGACTTCAAGAATAAATCTTACTGGGAAGAAAATGAATGATCTTTGCCTTGTATGATCCATGTGCTTTACATGGCATCTGACTTAGGCTTCACAACAATATATATGAGATATATTGTCAACTCCTGTTTTAAGGAGGATGAAACTAGGGCTCATGTCACCGGACAAGCTCCTCAAGGATCACTGACATAGTAAGTGGCGGAGGTGGCCTTATTTCAAAGGCATTAAACTGTGGTGACTTAAATTCCTGCTGAGGTAGACACAGCTGGGACCAGCTCTTTCCCTGAGGAGCAGCTGGTACCACTGTCTTTTGGCCTGAGGAAGGGTGTGGATGAGAGAATGCATGGGTGACTGAAGAGGAAGAGTCTTGGAGGAACAGGGCTCTAAGACGTGAGAGTGTGGGGCTGCTAAGGCCCCAGGCGATGGGAAGGACGTGGGCCCCCCCTGCCCCCCTTTATTCCCCTTCAGTGCATGTTCCGGCTCCACATTCAGATGCCTTCAACTTCAAGGTCCTTGGCCAGAGACAGACCCTTCTGCCCGCTGTGAGCTGCTTTCCCCTCCTGGGACTGTGTGGCTGCAAGTCCCTGCGTGTCCCCTACTCCCAGCAGTCTCCTGTGCTAGCTGAGCAACCTGTCCTGCCTTAAAACCTTCTCCTTGCACAATGGAATGACTTACTGGCTTCCTGCCAAGACCAAAATAGTCTGGGCTCTATTTATCTGCTCTGAACTCACAAAGGACTGGGAGCGTCACAGTAAAAGCTTCAGTGCTCTTGAATTTGGATGAGCCCGTGCTCACCAAATACACTTGCTTTTTAAATCTCTTTTTGAAGTAAGCTGAGGTGAGGAGGGGAACATCATGCATAGATAGGAATGGAAAGCTTTGGGTTTTTAGTCTTGGTCATAAGCTTCAGGGGCTTCCCAGGTGGCTCAGTGATAAAAGAATCCGCCTGACAATGCAGGAGATGTGGTTCGATCCCTGGGTTGGAAAGATTCCCTGGAGTAGGAAATTTCCAACATTCCTGCCTAGAAAATCCCATGGACAGAGGAGCCTGGCAGGCTGCAGTCCATGGAGTTGCAGAGAGTTGGACACGACTGAATGAGCATGCACGCATAAGCTTCAGAAAATTACTGTGCATGGGAGGGAATGACTCAGATGGTAACCTGCTATGATAAGCAGCTTATTCACAGGACCTAAGCACCTAGGTTTCCCTGTAACTACAATGGGACACTTAGATGTACCGGTCACCAGAACCCCATTGACTGGCCACCACAGCTTTACACCTTACCTCCACAATAGGATATTTCTTGGCCCAAGTGCTATTTGCTGGATCTGGAATTTCTTTGCTACACCACTGAGGTCTGAGGGCCAAAAGGAGAACAAATACCCTGCAGGTAAAGACAACATGACATCTGGTTAAGTGTGCACACAGTGGCTTCGGAACACAGGTTCTTAGTGAAGTGATTTCAATGCAGGCTTATGCAAATGAATAAAATGTAAGTACTGCAGGAGAAAGATGTTGCCTCACCTAAGGCTGGACTAGTTTTCTATGAAGTCTGGACAGATGATAAAGCTTGTACCACAACCACTTAATGGTTTGCTAAATAAACTATGGAACTTTCCCTCAGTATGATGTTTAGCTATCACTGAGCAGCCAAGTACTCATTCAACAGACATTGACTGAATCCCTAATGTATGACCAGCACAGTGCCATATGCTGCGTGGATAAAACAGCAAATAAGAGGACATGGTCAATACCCTTGGGGAGATTACTTTTTAGTAAATTAGAATGTTTATAAAGAGCTTATAATGGCAAATAAACTGTTTTGCTAAAAGTAAATAAAGAGTAAAACAGGATACAAGTGGCATAAACAGCTCAGACATAACCAAGCTTAAAAAAAAAAAAGCCAAGAAAAAAATACCATATGGAAATATCCAACAGTAGTTGTATTTGGTGATCAGAGGGTCTTTTATTTCTTTCCACACCTCTGGGTTTTTGAAGATACTTTAAGATGAGTTTATGATGTGGAAGAAAAAAATCCAAAAAATGTTTCCTACATGCACATGACTTAACTATTTTGACTTTTTTTTAAAATTCAAGAGCAATATGAAGCATTTTTAAAGATGTGGCTTTAATAAATTTTGTTTAATAAGAAAAGTGAGCTGCTATGATGTGTTTAGCCCTTTGAAACGAGATGAGGCCATGTGACTTGGTTTGTTTTGTTTTCTTTTTTTGGTGACTAGGTTTTTTTTTTTTCCCCAAAGAAACATGAGCAAAGGTTCCTGTGACCTAGTATAGATCATGCAGATGAGGAAAGTACCCAGAGGATTGTGGGCCAATAAAATGGAAGACAGCTGGATCCCTAAATGGCTGTGTAGAGCAGAGCTGATAACCAATCGGGATGACACACCTTAGAATTATTACATGGGAGAAAAATAAGCTATTTTATTAAAGCCACTATGTTTGCAGGTGGTTCTTTTTTTTTTTTTTTTCTTTTAACAGCAGATGCCTCCACCCTAACTGATACTATTTCCCTCAGGAGGATGCATGGGATTCTACTTGACTCTGAGTTCAACTTTTTCAAAGTCTACCTAAAAAGAGCTCTGCTTTGAAATATGTATCACGTATGAGAAAGCGTTAATAAATGGAAAGCCTTTCAAACAAGTTCAATGGCCAGTAGAAAATGACTTTGAGGTAGTTTTACTTTGACCTCTTCTCCTACTTTACACAACATCTGAAGAAAACTATTGAATAACTAATTCATTTAAAAAATTCTCCATACCAAATAGTACATGTTTAAAGAAATTTTAGAAACTATAGTTAAACAGAACTAAGATCACCTATGATTCTATCCCCCTCTTATAACCACCATCAATATTTTAGTGTATATGCTTAGGGAGGACTATATTAACTGCCATCTAGTACACATTTTCCCCTCCTTTTTGGAAGGGGACCCTGATTTACTGGGATAACAAGGAGCCCAGCTAAAAGGTCACAGTTTTAAGCATCTCTTGCCTCATCAAGTTTTGGCCAATGAGATGTAATGGAAAGTGTCACATGTGACTTCTTCACATGAAGGCTCCTGAAGAGGTAGGTATGGACACTTCCTTTCTCCCTGGAGTTGCAGAATGCAGGCATAATGGCCACAGTTCTGCAGCCGCTGGGCCATGAGGTGAACTTGAGGATAGAAGCCAATATCGGGACAGTACAGCAGAAAAAGGAGCCTAGGTCCCTGATGACTAGGGAGCTCCTACACCAGTCGTTACCTGAGTTTACTTCCTTTATCTGAGTGAGAAGTTTAGCTCATCTGTCATATTATTTTGGCTTTTTAAGTTATATACAACCAAATTTAATGCTCACTAATACATCTTACATGTCTGAGTGCATGTGTATATGCACTATTATTTTTTTAAAAATGAAAGTACATTTTGTTTTACAACCTGCTTTTTATTTTTATTTTTTTTTACAACCTGCTTTTTAAAATGCCATATAACATATATTCATATGATTTACTTTTCTTCTACATCTTTAATGAATGCATAGTATGCTATATGGCTTAAAATATTTTGTGATTTATTTATCCAATTCCATGTTATCAGGCATTTAGGTTGCTTCAAATTGTTCTCCTTTTATGAACAATACTTCAGTGAACATATTTGCCACTAAATATCTCTATATACCTATGATATACTTAGAATAAATTTCTAGTTAGAAATTGCTAGGGGAAAGGTTTAATGTTTTAAAAAGTTAAACATATACTGTCACTCCAAAAAGCTGAATAGTCTGCTACCAACAATGTATGAGAAAAACCATTTTTTTGACCCATAGCAGCAACAGCTATTATATGAAAAAGAAAAAAAACAACTTTTACCAAAGGCGGCAGGTGTAATGAACTTACTTTTGTCGGAAGCAACGCATTGAGAGAATGCCCACCATGATGACAGCCGTGCAGATACTTGGCGCCACAAATGCGCTCCAATTGGCTTTGCCTGCAGCAAAAAGTGAGCAAACCCTGTGACTGAGTTTAGAATCAGTTTAGAAATGTCCTCAATGAACATTTCTAAATACTGATTGTGGGATCTCCCCAGTGGTCCAGTGGCTTGGCGACTCTGTGCTTCCAATGCAGGGGGCCCCAATTCGATCACTAGTCAGGGTACTAGATCCCACCTGCTTCAACTAGGAGTTCACATGCCACAACTAAAGATCTTGCATGCTGCAATTAGGACCCAGCATAGCTAAGTAAATGAGTAAATAAGTAAATACTGACAGTTGGGTGAACTCCCTGGGCCTTACAGCTCCTGCGTAGCTGGACTCAGGAACAAGGCTGACTCACTTTTGCCCATTTGGTTAGGGAGAAAGGGCACACGGGCCAATCCTATGGTTCTAACAGAGGAGCTCCAATCCTGCAAGGGCTCCTTCCTCTACTAGGGGCAGAAGGAAAGGGAGTGTGGTATACAAAGCACTGGCTGTGACCTGGGAGCCCTGGAGTCTTGTCCTGGCTCTGCCACTGGCTGATGTGTGGACCTCAGATAATTGATCTATAAATGGTGAATGATAACATCTACCTTGCAAGTTGTTGTGAACATTAGAGATGGTGTATTTAAAGCACATAGCCATGTATCTGAACATAGAAGTCCTCAAGAAATGGTAGCTATTAGTTTTACCAAGCCATTGAATAAGCCCTCTAACTTGGGTCTTTGAAATTGTTCTGATTCCTTCCTATAAACAATATTTCACTATGTATTGGAATTTTTCATTAATTCATTCAACATTTAGAGTGTAAACAAACTAACAGGACAGGTTAAATGCTGGAATACACAGATGAATAGGACATGGGCTTTGTTGTCTTAAGAAGTCATGAAGATAGTCCAGATGACTGATGTATAAACATGGAATCAGTAAACTATGATGCCATGGGATACATGTAAAAACAGCATGTATGAGGCACTGCTGCAGAAAACAACATGGGAAACGGTTTCATGAGCAGCTCAGGAAGGTTTCCCCAAAGGCAGGATGTCAAAAGTTTAGAGCTGGATGGCTAGAAGTCAGCTATGTGGACAAGCTAGGGAAGTGCAGACAGACTAGCAGAGTAGGCATGGCAGGAGGAAGCAGAGAGTGCTTCAGCAACCACAGGTAGTCTGGTCTTGCTTTCTAGTATGAATGATGAGTGCGTGGCAGAGGATGGAGCTCGACAGGTGAACGGTACCAGGTCATGCACGGCCTGGTAACAAAGCAGTTTGAATTCTAGCTTGAAAGCCCTTGGGAACCATGGATGGGTTGCAACAGGAGGTAGAATGTCAGCAACAGGGATCTTGTAGAAAGATTCTTCTTTTGAGAGAGTGAAGAACAGGTTGGGGGTGGGGAGGGTATGCAGGGGGCACTAGTGGCCAGAGACCTGCTACTCCCCTGAGAAGGGTTGTTCCTAGAGCTGAACAGGGAAATTAACACTGGCAGTCTTGTTACCACCCCACACAACTGGCACAATCTGACATTTCTTTAGCATCTGCTTTGCTTTCTGGGCAGATGAGAAGTCTGGAGTACCAGGAGCAGAAAGATGCTGAGCCCTTAATCCAATTAACTGCTCACAAGTTTACTTTCATTCGAGTGCTAGGAGATGAGTTGTCAGTTTTCCCAGTGGAGAAGTATCTAGCATAGGGTCCTGAATGATGAACTTGGTAGTCCTCGTCACAAACAAGAATAGCTTCTCTTATGCTTGGAGCAGATGTGAAAGGCACTGCCAGAGAGAACAGTGTGACTTAGCTGGTAGGAGAGAAACCCATGTTAGCTAGGCCACTTCTTCACATATTCAAATTCAACTTAAACTCAAATCTGAGTCTGATTTGTAGTTCTTCCACTTGCCACCTCTATGACCCTGGGTCATCGTTCTGTACCTCATACCTATAAAAAGACACCCTAATCCCTCATTCCTTCATTGATTTCATATGGAGTGCCTGGTAGTGTGCTTGGTATAGGCATGCAACACAGCTGCAGTCAGGATTAAATGAGTGAAAGTATGTGTCACATGGGGTGAATCGTGTCCTCCACCCTGAAATTCATATGTTGAAGTCTTAACTTCCAATTCCTCAAAAAGTGACCTTATTTGGAAATAGGGTCATTGCAGAGGCTATTAGTTAAGATAAGGTCAGACTGGAGTAGTTCAGTTCAATTCAGTTCAGTTGCTCAGTTGTGTCCAACTCTTTGCGATCCCATGAATCACAGCACGCCAGGCCTCCCTGTCCATCACCAACTCCCAGAGTTTACTCAAGCTCATGTCCATTGAGTCAGTGATTCCATCCAACCATCTCACCCTCTGTCGTCCCCTTCTCCTCCTGCCTTCAATCTCTCCCAGCATCAGGGTCTTTTCAGATGAGTCAGCTTTTCACATCAGGTGGCCAAAGTATTGGAGTTTTAGCTTCAGCATCAGCCCTTCCAATGAATATTCAGGACTGATTTCCTTTAGGATGGACTGGTCTTGATTCCAGCTTGTGCTTCATTCAGCCCAGCGTTTCTCATGATGTACTCTGCATATAAGTTAAATAAACAGGGTGACAATATATGGTCTTGATGTACTCCTTTCCCTATTTAGAACTGGACAAAAAAGATCTTCACTACCCAGATAATCATGATGGTATGATCACTCACCTAGAGCTAGACATCCCATGTGAAGTCAAGTGGGCCTTAGGAAGCATCACTACGAACAAAGCTAGAGGAGGTGATGGAATTCCAGTTGAGCTATTTCAAATCCTATAAAATGATGCTGTGAAAGTGCTTCACTCAATATGCCAGCAAATTTGGAAAACTCAGCAGTGGCCACAGGACTGGAAAAGGATTCATTCCCATCCCAAAGAAAGGCAATGCCAAAGAATGCTCAAACTATCACACAACTGCACTCATCTCACATGCTAGTAAAGTAATGCTCAAAATTCTCCAAGCCAGGCTTCAACAGTAGATGAACTGTGAACTTCCAGATGTTCAAGCTGTTTTTAGAAAAGGCAGAGGGACCAGGAGCCAGAGATTGCCCCCAGATGTGAGGTGAGAGTTGTGGGACAGATTCTGTCACAGCCCTCAAAAGAAGCCAACTCTGCTGACACTGTGTTCTCAGACTTGCAGCCTCCTGAACTGTGAGGAAATTAATCTCTGTTGTTTAAGCTACTTGGTTATTGTGCAAAGTTTCTGGCACACAAAATATAGTGTGCAAAGTGCTTAACACAGTGCCTGGAGCATAACTATCTGATATGCAAAAGTTGCTTAAAAAAGTAAGGTCATGGCATCCAGTCCCATCACTTCATGGCAAACGGAAGGGGGAAAAGTGGAGGCAGTGACAGATTTCATTTTCTTGGGCTCCATATCACTGTGGAGGTGACTTCAGCCATGAAATTAAAAGACACTTGCTCCTTGGAAGAAAAGCTATGACAAACCTAGACGGCATATTAAAAAGCAGAGATATAATTTTACTGACAAAGGTCCATATTGTCAAAGCTATGGTTTTTCCAGTCATGTATGGATGTGAGAGTTGGAGCATAAAGATGGCTGCCAAAGAATTGATGGTTCTGAACTGTGGTGTTGGAGAAGACTCTGGAGAGTCCTTTGGACAGTGAGGAGATCCAACCAGTCCATCCTAAAGGAAATCAGTCCTGAATACTCATTGGAAAGACTGATGCTGAAGCTGAAGCTTCAACACTTTGGCCATCCGATGCAAAGAGCATACTCACTGGAAAAGACCCCAATGCTGGGAAAGATTGAGGGCAGGAGGAGAAGAGGGCAACAGAGGATGAGATGGTTGGATAGCATCATGGAGTCAATGGACATGAGTTTAAGCAAACTCAGGGAAATAGTGAAGGACAGGGAAGCCCAGGGTGCTGCAGTTCAAGGAGTTGCAAAGAGTTGGACAATAGTCAAGAAATGTATCCTTGTTGGGATTATGCTCATCTTTCACTGAACAGATAATCAGAGGACAAGTACTATGTGCTGGGTGGTATTCCAGACCTTGATAATAAGTGATAGACACTAGTTCCTGCCTGTTGGATTCAGAGTTTTGAATAGGGGTCAAGCATAGTGCATTATGAAGAAAATATGGATGTGCATTCGGGAAGACTTTCTGGAGGAGGCAACATTTTTGCTGAGTTTTGAAAACTGAGTAGAGACTGTCTCCAAGCAGGTAATAAAATGGTAGGGCACTCTGGTTAGAGGAAATGGCAAACACAGAAGTGCAGCAGCAAGCAAGTAATTAGTGAACTAAAGGAAGTCTGATAATCTCTATCACATAGTGGGAGTGTACTCCTCTGAAGGGATCCGGGGGACTTGCCCTCTGTAAGGGTGGTTCTTACCTGGCAGACAAAATTCTCTTTCATTTCCTTGGGGGCTTTCGCCGGCAGCTGTCAGAGCTGTCATCCACAGAACATATGTCACTCTGGGCTGCAGGCTGTCTATGGGATGTGAATTTGGGGAGATCCTGTAGGGAATTTCTGAAGGGAAGATAAATATAAAGGAGGAAAGGCATGCATTAAAGGAAATACTTGAATGTGGGCTTTTATTCGTATTTATTTGTTAATGCTTCATTTAACTTGAAAAAGAAAAGCACACTGCTGTTTTAAAATAGTCCTAATTCATTAGTACTTAATACTTTAAAAGACCCTAGACACTATCATTTATGAGGTGCCATGTCACAGCATATCAAAAGAATTAAATTTTTTTTCTGTGATAAAAATCTTTTCAAAGAATGTGTATTATTTTGCTTTTGAAATTACTTAGCTGTAGTAATTTTTTATTTATAATTTATTTATTTATAATTTATATTATTTTTATTTATTTATATATGTATATATATGTATATATATTTATATATATTTATTTATATTTTTATTTATAATTAATTTATTTATAATTTATTTCCTATAATTATAATGTTTCTGACATTTATCAGGTATATTTGAGAACTCCTGGGGAGGAAATTAAATGTACAAATTGTTTTCAATAGAATTTTCAAGAAATTCCATTTCTTAGAAATTTGTGCATTTATCAATTAATGAAATAGACATTTAGGTTACACTTATTAATTCTGATTTCCTTTTTTTTTTGATAAGTTCTGGGTATTGGTCTTGGTGGGTTTAATCTCTGATCTGCTTCAATTTGACATAAAATCTAAAAAATGAGAGCAACAGTACTTAGATTTATTTTGGTAGTTTAAGCCTAGATTGTCAATTCTTTATACTTTCAACACCCCTGCAGGTTCTCAGCAGGGAAGATTTGGTTTTTGAGCAATGTGTTGACGAAGTTTTTCTCCTCCAAGAAACATGAATGTTGGTAGCCTTTATTAAACAGGCAGTCTCCTCCTCCATGGATCTACTGGGTGTGAGTTTCAGAGTGAGCTCTCAAAAACTGAGGGGAACTGTAAAATTAAGGCTGGAACTTCCACAGGTGTAGCTTACTTGCTCAGCAGACTTGTCCATGTGCTGGTGATCAAAGTGGAAACCAGAACTCAGCACTGTGTGCCTCAACATCATTTATGGGCTTACAAATCCCAGAGTGGGGCTTCCCAGGTGGTGCAGTGGTAAAGAATACGCCTGCGAATGCAGGAGATGCCAGTCTGATCCCTGGGTCAGGAAGATTCCCCTGGAGAAGGAAATGGCAACACACTCCAGTATTCTTGCCTGGAAAATTCCATGCACAAAGGAGCCTGGTGTGCTACGGTCCATGTGGCCACAAAGACTGAATGACTGAGCACACACAAATCCTAGGGCAAATTAGATTTTTCCCCCTGCTTTCTAAATTTATTTCAACAGTCATACATATTTATTATTCATACAAGGCACTAAGACACAGAGGATGCCTCAAAGAATTCTATTAATAGTAGGGATAACAGACCCCATGACACTCTCACACCCCTGCTTACTATGGGTGACCAGCAAGATGGAGCCCTGTATTATTGAGTTCACTCTGCCCAAAGGTGCTAAGGCCTCAGCAGATCATTTAACAGCTGTGACTATCAGAGCAATTCCTATATTTTACATCCTTTTGAGAAAAAGTACCATGTGGAAAATTCCCAACCCTACTTCAACCTGATGAAATTGCTTGCACAGACTTCAGCTATATGATTAAACTAAATTGCATCTCATTCCCAAGGCAGGGGACCAAAAAAAATAATTTGAGAGAGACTTTCTGCTGATCGTGCTGCAGCAAAGCATGCATGTGAGCATCAGGGAGTCAAATGAGACCTTGGAACACAAGGGAATGTGTTTGAATGGTTTTCTGAGCCAAAAATGTTTACATATATGCACACGCACACACATACATATATTGTATATATTTGAAGAATAAAAACAGAAATTATGGGAGGAGCAGGGAGGAGAGTGATGGTGTCAGCAATCTGGTTGGCAAACAGGTTGAGTTGAGTAATGGGAGAAAGAAGTCATGCGGGAAATACTGGTTCTGCTGCCTCACCTGGGCTGTGATCTGGCAGAGATAAAGGAGGCCATTCAGTCCTTGGGTCTGAAACTTTAGGCTGATGATGGTTAAATGAGAAAGGCACCAGTTTAGGGAGAGGCTAATGGTTGCCAATTATCTGAAAGGTGACCAGTAAGGTCAAGTGGTACCAGGCAAAATTGTTATTGTTGTTTAGTTGCTAAGTTGTGTCTGATTCTTTTGTGACCCTGTGGAATGTAGCCCACTCGGCTCCTCTGTCCATGGGATTCTCCAGGCAAGAATACCGGAATAGATTGCCATTTCCTTCTCCGGGGGATCTTCCCGACCCAGGGATTGAACCCACGTCTCCTGCATTGGCAGGCAGATTCTTTACCACAGAGCCACGAGGGAAGTGCACCAGGCAAAATAGTCGCATGGTTACTGGAAATTAGCTTTGATCTAATCATTTGCATTGGTTTAACAAAGAAGGCAGTATTCACCCATTTGTTACTCAAAAAATACTGTTCATATTAAACACCTACCGGATGCCTGGCTGTACTGCAGGTAAGGGGGAGACAATGGTGAACTAATAATCATGGTTTCTACCTTCATGTTGGCAAAACAGCCAAGTAATAACAAGTAGTCTGTGTGTGCCTGTACAGCAGTGGACATGCAGTACCAACACACTTTCGGAGGCGAGGCCATGCTCTGGAATTGCCTGGGGAATGCAGACAGCCTGCCCCAGGGCTCTTTCCTGTCCGGGCAGGTGAAGTGTTCTTACTGTGCCCTGCTTGCGCTGTTAGGGGCCAGGCCAGAAGACACCTAAGACAAGGGTCCTTCCTCCTGGGAACTCCATACTCCTTTTGCTGTTGTGGAGCCTTTCTGGTTTCTTTCTCCCTCCTCCGCAACCTATTATCTCCTACCACTGTCTAGAAACTACCCTTGTGGATTCGCCAATGATTTCTGGTTGCCAAATGCAACAGGTAGTTGTCAGTCCTTGATTAAAGAATTTACATCACTTCCGTGTACTTTTCCATCACTCTGGGTAGACTGTGAGCTCTCTGAAGATAGGGAACAGGTCTTATTCATCTGTAAGTGCTAAGAGGGAAACCATCTAAACTGGTACAAAATAGGGTTTTGAATCTGCACCTTCTTCCTTTTAAACTTATTTTAAAATACCCTTACACAGACTTCAGATTCATCAGATTTGTTGCAAATAAGGTAGGTAATTTCTTCAACATCTACAAGAGCAGATTTTTTAGAACCATCTAACCATGTTGATCTGTTATAAGTAGACGTCTAAGTTTAAATTCTATAAAAATTAACATTTAAGGGGGAGCAAATTTCACATAAAGCATTCCAAATGGCCCAGGATGACATCAATTGATGAAGCACCTTTGGCGGTACATTTCAGAACTGACTTACGCTGACAGTGGGTAGCAGTTATGTTCAGTGATATGCTGCATTTAGAAATTGTGGATTATTAAGCAGATTATTGTAAGGTCTCATAGTGGAACACTATAGAACTATTAAAAAGAAGAATGAGACAAGTCCACATGGACTGATGTGGAAAGATCTCACTATGGATTGCTGTTTTTTGTTGTTTAGTTGCTAGTGAGAGGTAAAGTAAGGTACAGATCAGAATACAGATGGTTATCCCAAATGTATGCTAGTATATGCATTAGGTTTTCTTCTGGAAGAACACATAAAGAACTACTAACAGCATAAGTATAGAGGAAAGGATAATTCCCACTTTATATCTTTCTGAACTATGGATGGTTTTACCATATATAAGTATTATATAATAAAAAATTAATTAGCTTTAAATGTCATAACTTTTAGAAAAGCAATACAGCAGGTCTAAGGTCAAGAGAGAGGACCAGTTCCTCAAGTTTACCAGGTAAAAATCACTCTGCAGGCAGCACTCTGGCACCTATATGGCAGGTTGGCTTTGTTACATTCTTCTTGGACCCAATAATTCTCACTAAGGGATAAAATGGTTGCTTGTTTATGATAAATGCTCCTGAAAGAACTCTGGCTGCCTATAAATACGAAAGGGAGGTTCAAGCCAGGAAAAATAAAACAAAACTGCATAAATCAAAGATTAAAACATTAAATCTGGCAAGTGATTTGGAGCTGCTCAGTGAATGAGTGATGAAATCACTTGAGATAATGCTCTAGCCAGAATTTAATTGCTTTAGTATTATTGCATAATTATGGGTCATAAGGAGTTACTTAAATTGTATTTTATCCATTTAAGAAGAAAATAACATGCTATGATGGTATTTGCTAGTGTGGGGATTCAAAGGTTCTCCAAACGCATTCCCTGCAAACCTCAAGGGCCTATATAACGATATCCAAGTGACTTTATTGCTTTTTTATTTCTTTATTGCTTTTTGAAATGCTGTCTCCATGTAAGTGAGCTCCTTGAGAGCCTCATTCATTAACTTCATTTCTTCCATTTGCTTGGCATGTAACACATATTCAGTAACTTTGTGAGTGTGTATGTGTGTTTAGATGTCTTTTATTTATCTTCATTCAATTAACTTTACAAGTATTTATTGAGCATCAACTAAGTACTAGGTACAGCGCTAGCCCTTGCACACACTTGTGTTTTCCCAGCATCTAAACAAGAAAGGCCCTGTTGCCTTTGTCTCTCACACATACCACAAAGCTGAGGCTGGGAGTTGGAGTCCCGTTCCTTCCAATATATCCTGTAATGGAGGATGCAGCCCATTTGCTCCTGGGCTGGAATTTCGTCCCATGAAATTAAAACGCTCCCCTTTTCCTCTGAGATGGCATTAATGTGGGGGCCACTCAGTGGTGCTGTGAAGTAGAACATAGGAGGCTTTTGTCACCCTCCAAATCCAAACCATTAAACTAGAGCACAATTGCACAAAAGATCCCAAGACTCACCTTTGTGCTCGGAGCTACCCCGGGTGGAGTTGCACCCTCCCTGGTCCCCTGCAAGCACGTGCACGCGGATTTCATAACAGATGTAGGGTTTTATGTTTTCTGCAAGACATAAAGACAGAGGCTATTCCAGTTCAAAAAAGGGTTTAAACAAAACCACACAGACAGCTTCTGAAACAAAACTCACTTTTAAGGAAAAACTTCGACTTCTACAAATAATTTGCTGTTTACAGGAAAATAAGGTTGGTGTTTTGTAGGCATAGCACTTGAATGGCTCTTCTGATTCCCCAGATACTTATCATGATCTGACAGGGCGGCGTAGGTGACACATTCCAGTGTAATTAATCAGGGTGCCACTCAGTGTAATCTACCCCTTTGCCCCACCCTGCCAGCCCCCCACCACGCCCCCCCAACCCCCGCCATGTTCCACTCAGATCTCAGTTGCTTCACAGCTTGGAAGACTGGGAAGATACCTGAGGATGCTAATACTCCTTCATATCTTTTAAAGTGCTACCCTTTGCAGTTTTCTGTCAGTCATAAGGTTTATTGACACTCTTCCCTGCTCAAACTCCTTATTTCCATGAATCTCAAATGTCAACTTCCTGTAAAGAAAAGGCCCCTCTCATAGATACTGCCCATGACTTATCTTTAAACTCCCAATGAAAATGTAAAGGAAAAAGATTATTTCTATCAGATAACTAACTGTAGTCTCATGTGGTCAGAGGAAGGACTCTCTCCCACATTGTTCAATGCCCTGCCGTTGGTAGATTGGGTCCCCTACACTGACAATTGATTAGGGTTTCACATTTTCTTTTTTGGAAGAGGAATTTTATATCACAGAATACTTTACTAAATAGTGTGTTTTCTATAAAAATCCATTCAGTTCAGTTCAGTTCAGTTGCTCAGTCATGTCCGACTCTTTGCGACCCCATGAATCGTAGCACGCCAGGCCTCCCTGTCCATCACCATCTCCCGGAGTTTACTCAAACTCATGTCCATCGAGTCGGTGCCATCCAGCCATCTCATCCTCTGTCGTCCCCTTCTCCTCCAGCCCCCAATCCATCCCAGCATCAGGGTCTTTTCCAATGAGTCAACTCTTTGAATGAGGTGGCCAAAGTATTGGAGTTTCAGCTTCAGCATCAGTCCTTCCAATGAACACCCAGGACTGATCTCCTTTGGGATGGACTGTTTGGATCTCCTTGCAGTCCAAGGGATTCTCAAGCGTCTTTTCCAACACCACAGTTCAAAAGCATCAATTTTTTGGCTCTCAGCTTTCTTCACAGTCCAACTCTCACATCCATACATGACCACTGGAAAAACCATAGCCTTGACTAGACGGACCTTTGTTGGCAAAGTAATGTCTCTGCTTTTTAATATGCTATCTAGGTTGGTCATAACTTTCCTTCCAAGGAGTAAGCATCTTTTAATTTCATGGCTGCAGTCACCATCTGCAGTGATTTTGGAGCCCAAAAAATAAAGTCTGACACTGTTTCCACTGTTTCCCCATCTATTTGCCATGAAGTGATGGGACCAGATGCCATGATCTTAGTTTTCTGAATGTTGAGCTTTAAGCCAACTTTTTCACTCTCCTCTTTCACTTTCATCAAGAGGCTTTTTAGTTCCTCTTCACTTTCTGCCATAAGGGTGGTGTCATCTGCATATCTGAGGTTATTGATATTTCTCCCGGCAATCTTGATTCCAGCTTGTGCTTCTTCCAGCCCAGTGTTTCTCATGATGTACTCTGCATAGAAGTTAAATAAGCAGGGTGACAATATACAGCCTTGACGTACTCCTTTTCCTTTTTTTTTATCCTTAAATATTTCCTTTTTTTTTATGTAGATAATACATAAAGCCAAAATGTGCAACTACTACTGTCCATGAGGAAATCAAAACTCATGCCATGAGCAAGTTCCAATTCATATTCATGAGCCAAGTGAAGTAGAACAAGGCTGCAATCAGCCTAGCCCTGTCATCCAAAGATGCTTTGTGGGTGGCATCCAGACCCAGAAATCCAAAGGGCAACATGGAATATGGAATCACTTCTTTTGGGAGGGGCTGGTTCCTGGCAGCTCTGTTGCTAGTTCTGGAAGGGACCTATCAAACACAGTGCCACATGGAAGTTCCAGATGAGCACATTAGGCAAATGATTTCCTTGCATTTTGCCATGCAAGGTGTGAGTTCAGGGGAGAGGCCTTGGGAACTGTGGCATCAGAAACTTTGGGCTTCTTGTGAATAGCCTGCCCCTTGTGGAGGAGGGCAGGCTTCCCTTGTGGCTCAGATAGATGGTAAAGAGTCTACCTGCAATGCAGGAGATGGGTTCATTCCTGGGTTGGGAAGATCCCCTGGAGGAGGCCATGGCAATCCGTTCCAGTATTCTTGCCTGGAGAATCCCATGGACAGAGCAGCCTGGTGGGCTATAGTTCATGGGGTCACAAAGAGTCCGACATGACTGAGCAACTAACACATGGAGGAGGGAAGAAAATGTGGCTCCATAACTTAGCTGACACTTTCTTCTTTATGGAGAGTAGAGCCCGAGCAAGCTTGTTCCCCAATTCTAACCTTAAGAACAACTCCTGTTTTCCTGGCTAATTCTTACATGTGTATATATGTGTGCTCAGTCAGTCATATCTGACTCTGCAATCCCGTGGCCTGTAGACTGGAGGCTCCTCTGTCCATGGAATTTTCCAGTCAAGAATGTTGGAGTGGGTTGCCATTGCCTACTCCAGGGGAGCTTCCCAACTCAGGGATCGAACCTACCTCTCTTGGGTCTCCAGCATGAACACACCCTAATCACTGTTTGCTCCCCACCTCAGAAATTCGTTAGCCTTTGCTGCTGGTGGATGAAGCCCATACTCTTAACATTTTCATTTCTTTTTAGAGTCTGGCCCTGACTTCCAGGCCTATTTCTCAAGACTCCCATGCATGCACAAACACCTAGCACTCCTGGGCAAAGGCTCTGTCTCCCTATTCGTAAACTGTCTCTCAAGTGGTTTCTCTGTCGAAAGCTAATGTCACCTATTAAGTCTGGGAGAAGGCAAACACTAAATGATCAGCAATGAGAAGTAATCATAGAGGAAGTATGATGAGAGCATACAGAAGATAAGCCCCAACAGCTAGGCATGAGGGAAGGTTTTCTAGACACCATGATGTCTACGTATCTGTAAAAGGAATGGTTATATAATAAGGTCAGAACTGTTTTCACCTAGACAAGACAGGACTGAGAGTCTCTAGCCTAGACCCCACCAGCTTATAATCCAGGAGTTGAACTTCACTGTAGCCCATCTCAAAGCACCCAACTCTACCCCAGCTAGATGCCGGGAAAAAACTGGTAAGGATCTTATGGCAATGAGTTATCTTACTGATTGGAGAGGGTAACTTTGAATTCATGATAAGCATGAATTAGTTAAGTTTTAAGTGTTTATTTCCAGAATGTTACATCAAAACAAACTCATAGTTAATCAAGTGTTTTCAGGTAGAAGAATGACTTGAATTAACAGTTAATCTCATCCAGTATTATTGATTTTATTCAAATTAATATGTCTGAATTGCTTAAAAACATTTTAGTTTCCTAAGTGTGGAAAAAATTCTCTCTTGTCATTTATTTTAGGCACTGTGTATAGAATTAATAGAATTTCTAAAAAGAAATATCTGTAGGGACTGTATAGTTCAAACTATCCCAAAGGGGTAAATCCTAATACAATAAGGGTTTACAATTATATAGCAGTTTAGAGTTTAGTATCTGCTGCTTCATCTGATTTGATGGACATACAATCATAAAGGGCTTCCCATTAGCTCAGTGGTAAAGAATACACCTGCCAGTGCAGGAGATGCAGGAGACGCAGGTTTGATCCCTGGGTCGGGAAGATCCCCTGGAGGGGGAAATAGCAATACACTGCAGTATTCTTGCCAGGGGAAATCCCATGGACAGAGGAGCCTGGTGGGCTACAGTCCACAGGGTCGCAGAGTCAGACATGACTGAGCACACACTCACATACACACACACCCTTAAAGGAACATTGATTCCACTTCAGCAACTCTAGGGACAGAGAACGCGCCGCCTTGAGTGGCAATCAACTGTCCTATTAGAGACCATCAACTGTAAGGGAAGAACTTTCTCAAAATTGAGCTGACATCTGTCTTCATACAATTTTTATGCAGAGGGCCTTCATTCTGCTCTCCAGAACAACAAAGGACACATACTCTTCCTTACATATATATCGAAGCCAGCAAGAGTCATCAACCACCTCCCACCCCAATCTAGAATACTCTTCTACACGCTAAACGGTTTCCCCATTAAAAGTTTCAGACCCTAAAGGCTTGCTCACATTCCTCTGATGCTCATGGGGTTATCCAGGCAGCATTCTCTTTAAGTACAGTGATTAGAACTGAACACAACCCACTAGATGTCTGAGTAGCTAGACTCTAGAAGAGGCACACAGTTAAGGTCTGGTTCATGTATTATCATGCACCATGCTCTGTTTATTTCTGTGAAAATCTTGTCTCCTCAAGCAGGGTGTGTATATCCTCCTGGACAGGTATAATGGTTGTCATGGTGTAATGAAAATATTATGGGATTTAGAGTTTCAAAACCTATAAAATCTTAGCTCCATCACATATAATAATAATCATGATAGCTAGATTATCGAGCACTTTAAATGTGTTAGGTATTGTTAAAAATGTTTTGTCCTTCAGTTAGTCTTCACAATAACCCAGTGAGGTAGGTAATATTACCCCCACTTTCCAGATAAGGAAACTGAGGCACAGAGAAGTTAATTTGCCCTGGATCATACACTTTGATAAGTGACAGAGCCAGGACTCAAACCCAGATAATCTGGCTGCAGAATTTTCATCACTATGCTGAACTTATACTTTAAAAATCACATTAACATTTTTAACACATTAAATGAGCACATCCATTGCCATACAGAAAACACGTTTATCAACATTGTAAGGGAATACTTCTCAGTGCTCTGTGATAACCTAAATGGGAAGGAAATAAAAAAAAGAGGGGCTATATATTGGGTTGGCCAAGGAGTTCATTCAGGTTTCCTGTAATATAGAAATATATGCATAGCTGATTCACTCTGCTATTAGTAGAAACTAACATAACATTGTAAAGCAAGTATATGCCAATAAAAATAAATAAAAAAATTAATTTGGGGTGATCTGCTGACCTAGATTTGCATTAATAATCTCATGATGATTTCGATTTATTATAAAATAACAATTAGTAGGAGAAAAGTAGAAGGAGAAAAATATTGTAGTTTTGGCTTCTGAATGTGTCAGCACATGTGCGTGCACACACACACAGAGACACATGTGCCTTGTTCATTGAAATTCATCCTGGAAGATTTTCAAGCAAGTGACCATCTAACTAGCTTAACTCTAGCATGCAAATAATTCCATTTCTCTTTGGGAAAATTAAAATAAGAAATTTTCCACTAATTGGTTTTGGGTAACATTCATTGGTAATAAGGGGGGGCCTTTGAGTATTTCAAACACAAAACAATATTAGAAGCTGACAGTGGTTCAGAGTAAGACTTCAGAGTTTGTGAATTAAGAACTTGAAAAAAATAAAGAACTCGAGACGTTGCCCTTTAATGTCTGTTTGGCAAATATGTCAGCCACCTCTGGTGCGATTAGGACTAGATCTCTCTGACAGAAGAGGTTAAGGATTCTTTTCACCGGTTAGAAATAGCAAGTCCCATTTAGGAACTGCTTCCATGACAGCATAAGGGTAAGCATCAGATTCTGATAGGAGGAAGACACTGCAATCATTTATCAAAATGATTAAACAAGCCTTCGGCTGCCTTGTTTTCCAATTGTCCAATGTTGCTTATAGGCTCCCTGAGTAGAGAATTCACCTGCCAATGCACGAGATGTAGGTTTGATCCTTGGGTCTGGGAAGATCCTCTGGAGAAGGAAATGGCAACCCACTTCAGTATTCCTGCTTGGGAAATTTCATAGACAGAGGACCCTGGTAGGCTACAGTCCATGGGGTTGCAAAGTGTCAGACATGACTTAGCGACTAAACAACAATAACAACAATGTTGCTCATGCACAGGATTAAATGATTATTTATGACATTTCTTTCCAGTTTAAATTCATATTGTATGATACAGAAATTTAAGATGTACTCCAAGGATAAAATGAAATTAAAAAAAAAAAACCACTGGTTAACTTCTGTCCAATCGTTTGAATGCATTTTCAGATGCTTTCTATCAGTTGATACATGGAAACACTGACAGATTTGGAATTTGAGGACTACAGAAACCAACTCTCATACAGATAATTCTGGGTTTATTATCACACAAACAATAAGTAGCAGAATTGGAAATGAAAGATCTCCTGGTTTCCTCATATGTAATAACGGGGGAAATAACTCTTGCTACACATGATTTTTCTCACAATTAAATGAACTCCCAAATGTAAGGTGTCCACCACGCTGACTGGCTTTTACTTAGCTCTGAGCCATGCTTGTTGGGTTCATTATTTACTCATCATACATGGCACTGTCCCAGGCACATGCGTTTTCCATAAATCCTAGAGGTTTTAGTCAATCAGTGGGTCTTCTATGGCTGCAGTGGTGCACTCTGATGGGCTCTAGGTCATCACTGCCCGTCTTCTCATGAAGCGGTAACTGAGAGCAAGGCTCTGGGTTCCTGCCTGAAGTTTCCTTGAAAAATGTGAACTTAGTAACCCTTGAGAAGGAAGGTGAATATGAAGTACCTGAAATCAGAGCAGACAGGCTGTAGGGGGTACTCCACAACCAGCCAAGAGGGGGCTGCATGCCGCCCCCTGGGTGGAACTCCCTCCACTCCACCACGTATTTCTGCACAGCAGGGACAGATTTCTCTGGAGGTGTCCATGTCACCATGAGCTTGTCCATGCCTTCTGACTTTGCAAAGACCTGTTGAGGAGCCAGCAACTCTTTATAGGGAAAGGTGGGGGGGAAAAAAAACAAAATCACAGTGGACACAGATATAAAAAACAACCACCCAACCCAGCAAAGTTGCAGCAAGAACCGATCTCTTTTAAAGGACTTCAGGTTCACAGATTTTATTCAACCAGCTTCTCAGTTCTTGGAGAACAGGCATCAGTGCCAGGACCCTGTGTAGTGTTATTTATGGAACTATTTCCCCTTCATCTTCCATTTCACTTTCCATTTCTGTGTCCCCAAAGGTACCTGCTCTAGTGATCTATAATATGCATCCTTCTAATCTACCTCCCCGGAGAAGGCAATGGCACCCCACTCCACTACTCTTGCCTGGAAAATCCCATGGACGGAGGAGCCTGGTGGGCTGCAGTCCATGGGGTCGCTAAGAGTCGGACACGACTAAGCGACTTCACTTTCATTTTTCACTTTCATGCGTTGGAGAAGGAAATGGCAACCCACTCCAGTATTCTTGCCTGGAGAATCCCAGGGACGGGGGAGCCTGGTGGGCTGCCGTCTATGGGGTCGCACAGAGTCGGACACGACTGAAGTGACTTAGCAGCAGCAATCTACCTCCTATATGTTTATTTACATATATATGTGTCCTTGAGAATTAGCATTGCTTTCAGTTCGTGTGTCGTATTTTCATGAAACACATTTGCAGTAAATCTAGTGCTTTTCCTAACTTCCATTTTCCCACTCAACAATATGTTTCTAGGATACATCTATTCTGCTGCTATATGAAAATCAAGCTCATTCCTTCAGATTACTGGCTCAACACTTTCTTTGTGCAGTCTCCAAGTGACAAGCAATAGTTTTCTTCAAACTTTTTGTCAACACAAACAAGGATGCAATGAACCTTCTCTTGCATGTCCTTGTGTATGCCTGTCTAAGAGTGTCTCATCCTCTTACACTGTTGGTAAGAATGTAAATTGGTGTAGCCACTGTGGAGAACAGTACAGAGGTTCCTTAAAAAACTAAAAATAAAGCTACCATATGACCCAGCAATCCCACTCCTGGGCAAAGATCTAGAGAAAACCATAATTTGAAAGGATTTGTGTACTCAGATATTCATTGCCGTACTATTTACAATAGCCAGGACATGGAAGCAACCTCAATGTCTACTGACAGATGAATGGATAAAGAAGATGTGGCACGTATATAGAACAGAATATTACTCAGCCATAAGAAAGGAACGAAATAATGCCATTTGCAGTAACATGGTTGGACCTAGAGATTGTCATAAAGAATGAAGTAAGTCAAAAAGAGAAAGACAAATATCATATAATATCACTTATATGTGGAATCTAGAAAAATGGTTCGCATGAACTTATTTGCAAATCAGAAATAGAGTCATAGATTAGAAAACAAATTTATGCTCACCAAGGAGGAGGGACGGGATGAACTGGTAGACTGGGATTAACATATACACACTACTATATATACAATAGATGACTAATAAGAACCTATTGTATAGCACAGGGAACTATACTCAATGTTTTGTGATGACCTAAATGAGAAGGAAATCTAACAGAAGAGTATTGCTCAGTCGCTAAGTCGTCTCTGACTCTTTGTGACCCCATGGACTGCAGCATGCCATGCTTCCCTGTCCTTCACTATCTCCCAGAGTTTGCTCAAACTCATGTACATTGAGACAGTGATGCCATACAACCATCTCATCCTCTGTTGCCCTCTTCTCCTCTTGTCCTCAATCTTTCCCAGCATCAGATGGTCAAAGAATTGGAGTTTCAGCTTCAGCATCAGCCTTCCAATGAATATTCAGGGTTGATTTCTTTAGGAGTGACTGGTTTGACCTCCTTGTTGTCCAAGGGATTCTCAAGAGTCTTCTCCAGCACAATTTAAAAGCATCAATTCTTTGGCACTCAGCCTTCTTTACGGTCCAATTCTCACATCCATACATGACTATTAGAAAAACCATAGCCTTGACAATATGGACCTTTTTCAGTAAAGCGATGTCTCCACTTTTTAATATACTGTCTAAGTTTGTCATAGCCTTTCTTTCAAGGAGCAAGCATCTTTTAATTTCATGACTGCAGTAACTGTTCACAGTGATTTTGGAGCCTAAAGAAATAAAATCTGCCCCTGTTTCCACTTTTTCCCCATCTATTTGCTATGAAGTAATGGGACCAGGTGCCATGATCTTAGTATTTTGAATGTTGAATTTTAAGCAGCTTTTCCACTCTCCTCTTTCACTTTCATCAAGAGGCTCTTTAGTTCCTGTTCGTTTTCTGCCTTTAGGGTAGTGTCATCTGCATATCTGAGGCTGTTGGATTTTCTCCTGGCACACTTGATTCCAGCTTGTGATTCATCCAACTCAGCATTGTGCATGATGTACTCTGCTTATAAGTTAAATAAGCAGGGTGACAATATACTGTCATGACTCTTTTCCCAAATTTGAACCAGTGTGGAGTGGATATACATATATGTATTATATGACTGATTCACTTTGCTATACAGAAACTAACACAACATTGCAGAGCAACTACAGTTTTTTAAAATAGACTCTCTCTCTACATATAAATGCACACAATTTCTCAATTATAAACTAAATTCACCCATTTCCCTAAATGTGGTCAGACTGATCTCTAAAACAGTAATCAGTTGACCCTCCAACAAGAAAAGCATGAGAGTTCTCATTTCCCCACCAACACTTGGTATTTTCTTTCTCATTTTCCCAAGCTGGCACATGTAAGGCAGTATTCAATTGTGGTTTTATTGTTGTTTTCTGATTTCTTACGAGGCTGAGCTCTTCACATATTATTAGCTGTCTGACTTTCCCCTTCTCATACCTCACTCATTTTTTTTTCTGTTGTATTTCCTGTCTTCTTCCTGATTTGCAGAAATAACTTTTGTATTCTAGATATTAATCACTTGTTAGTTTTCAACACTAAAAATATCTCACTGAAGTCTTTCAAGTCTCTGTTAATTTTATGATGTGTTTGTTTAACATAAACACTTACTTTGATGTGGATAAATTCACCACAGTTTGTGTATTTTGAGTCTTGTTTATAAAATCCTTCCATTCTGGGGTCACAAAGATACCTGACTACATATCCTCCCATTTGCTTTTGGTTTTATTTAATACCTTTCACATTTAGGTTTTTAATTCAAATCTAGCTAAAGGGTCTGTGTGTGTGTGTGTGTGTGTTTTTTTTTTTTAAAGGAAATAAGCCTTATTATTTTTTCCACAAAACAGGTCAATTTTTCCAAATGTGGTACTACCCCTGCCACACACTAAGCTCCACATATTCATGGGTTTGTGTGTGGATCAGTTTCTTCACCAGAACACACTGGTCACATTACAAGGCTCTGTGACACCTGACTATTTGGTAGTTAAAGTCCCTCCTCATTTTGCTCTTCTTTTTTTCAAAGTGATCTTGGGTATTCATGAAACTTTATTCTTCCATATAGCTCTTACAATCAGTTTATGAGAGTCCTCAAAAATTTCAGCTGGTATTTTTATTGGGATTATATTAAATTTACAGCTCAGTTCAGGGAGAACTCATATTGTTACAATGTTAAGTTGTCCCATTTATAAATATGATGTTTCTTTGAAGCTGTTTGGGTCTCTTTTGATATCTTTTAATGGAGTTTCAAAAATTCCTCCTTAAAGTTTTAATGTGCTTTTTATGGTTAATCCTTACACACATTATACTATTAGTTTGCTATTTAAATGGCATCTTATTTTCTACTTCTTTTCCACTATGAATTTGTGTGTGTTATTCTTATTCTAGCTGACCTGCTAAACTCTCTAATTAGTTCTCATAATTTGTCTATGGCCTTTGTTAAATTTTCCATGTAATAATCTTGTTAGCTGTACTTAACAATCTCTTCTTTCCAATCTTTGAACTAAATCTCCTTTTTTTTAAATCTTGTTGCTAATTTTAAAAAGAATGTTCCTACATATCTTTATTAAGATGATGCTTGCTGCATGTTTTTGGTAGAAAGTCTTTAAAAAGCTAAAAAGTTTTCCTTTTTTTATAGCTTTCAAATAGGTTTTATTTTTATAAAATACTATTTATTTACTAAAAATTTTGTTTTATTAAATACATTTCTATATCTGTTAAGAACATATCCCTCTTTTCTCCTTCAGTATTAAAGTATTGAATTACATTGATAGACTTTTCTGATATTGATCCATCTTTGTATTCTTGAGGGCAACCCTGCTTGATCATTCTGCACTCATTATCTTTTCTTATTTCTTCTTAAAATAGACTTTATTTTTTAAAGCAGTTTTAAGTTCAAAGCAAAATTGAGTGAGAGGTACAGACATTTTCCACACACCCCTGACCCCATACATGCATCACTTCCCCCATTATTGACATCCTGCACCAGAGCAGTACATTCTGTAAGATTCTTGATAAATATTTTCAAATATTCTCCCCTTTCATTCATGTTTTCTCTTACTGGGGCTCCTTTTAGGCAATTATCATTACTTATTCTTTCAATGTCTTAAGTCTTCTCATTTTTCAAACTCTTTTTCCTCTTTGATGACTTTTAAGTTTCTCACCCAATCTTCCCCTCACTCATTCACTCTTCAGATAAGTCCTTTCTGCTATCCAACCCATTGGGTGAGTTCTTTATTTCAACAACTGAACTTTTCATATTGAATCTCTATTTGGGGCTATTCCACAACTACCTGTTTCTGATTTGTGTTCCCAGTATCCTCTCTATCTTTCTAAGGATACTTACTATGCTTACTCTAAACTCTGATTTATTCAATTATTTCTGGTTGCACTGGGTGTTTGTTACAGTGAGCACGCTTTCTCTAGTAGCAGTGAGCAGGGGGCTGCTCTTAGTAGCAGTGAAGGGCTTCTCTCCTGCCTCGAAGCAGGTCTCTAGGCACACGGCTTACAGCCTCACTACAGGGCTTTAGTCATTACAGCACATGAGCTCAGTGGTTGTGGCGCATGGGCTTTAGTTGCTCCACAGCATGTGGAATCTTCCTGGACCAGGGATTGAACCCATGTCCCCT